GAAACATCGTGAGAATTATTTTATAATGTTTTATTTTTATGATTTTTTTATTTCCCTTCTACGTGACTTTACCGAAAGAACCAAGAAGAAGAAAAAAAGTGTAAATATCGTTTTATTTCTCATTCGGGATTATTTATTGTTGTTGCTGTTCTGTTGCGTTAAAAGTTGGAGGCCCACACGTTGTGTGGGTTATATGTCGGTCAGCCGAGGCGGCTGAGTTTTATAAAGGGGGGGGGGGGTGATGTAGAGACGTAAATAGCGTCTCTACGGCTTATAAGCCGACTACAACCACAACTGGTGAATGAGTGCGCACGCACCTCTCGATGGGGCCGACGGAGACGTGATGGAGAATCAGGCCCTACAAATCAGGGCCCCGTCGCAGAGAGAGAGAAGGGACGTGCTGACACGTAGTAGTGAAGGGGGCCCGGAAACAGGGGCCCGGAGGACATGTGATGCTGGCTCCAGTTCCATCACAAGAGACCGAGGAAGGGGCGTAGCCGGAGGCGGAGTGAGGCCACGCTCGAGAGGCTAAGAGGGACTGAGGCGGAGTGATCGTGGTTGTCTGGCGGAAAGAGCTTGCCGTGCGGTGTTGCTTCGGGGGTCTTGGAGCGTCGGTTATCGGGGACTCAGTTTATGTAGAGACCCCTTTGGGGGTCTAGAATAACCCCGAGTATTGTTAACCCGTAGCCCTGTTAAGTTGTTAATAAATCGTGGTGCCTCCAGACTACTGTGTGTGCCTCATGAGACACACACTACATATACAATGCAGAATATAATCGGAGAATAATACTAACAAGGGGAATGTAAATAACAAAACAAATCGGCAGGCAATATGCCCTCTTCACATATCCGTCCCTCCACCTACAAATATAAGTATGTTCACACATTCCATCAATCACACTGCCTTCTGGTAGTGCATCATTTCAGCAGCATTGGTTCAACACAAGCGAGTTCTGGACCGGTTTTGGCATTCAGTGTTTCATCAGCAGACTTGCTTGTGTGGCACATTAGGAATGGATCACTCTTTTAATTATGTCCTTGTGCAGCAAGGGAGTAAAGTGTGGTTCTGTGAAAGTCCTGATGTGCTGTGCAGTGCATCAATGCATGTGTGTACAGCAGCATGTGATGACTGAGTTGGGCCTGTAGGTGGCTGGCAGGGTTAATGAATAACCGCACGTGTAAACCAGCCACATGGGTAATGGCGACTCGGAAGAATTGCTGCATGTAACACGTGCTGTTGCATTTTACAGGTAAAGGACCCAAAGGTTGTTTTTGATCGTTATATAAATGTTCTAGACTTGTTCTAGACTTTAAGCTTGGCTTTGAATTGTTCGTTTGTGATATATGCAATTAGAGGCGATTTAGCACTGTGCATTGTAAAGGGATGACGCACTGTAATTAGTTACTGTCATTGTAATTCTCTAACTCTAATACTGTTTAGTCTATAACCATGCCCATGTACCCAGAGTATGACTACTTGCAATGCTATTGAGAATAGAACACATGTAAAGTAGTAAGCTGTACAATGGTGATATACAGTACGTATACTGTACACATACAGTACATATAATGGGTGTAAGATACCGATATAAGTGGATGGGATAGATAGACATACAGCTTAGGATTAAAGTAATATTCGAATAGTGATGTGCAAATCTGATTGTCAAAGACAAAGATGGTTTATCAGTAGTAGAATTGGGTTTAAGAGAAAGGGTTAATGAATAACCGCACGTGTAAACCAGCCACATGGTTAATGGCGACTCGGAAGAATTGCTGCGTGTAACACGTGCTGTTGCATTTTACAGAGTGACGGTGCTGTTCTTCACAAGATTAATATTAACCACAATAAATAAATGTGCTTGCCCTCGATTTGGAGCACCTGCCCACGTCCTTCATTTCGAGTGTGCAACACTTGAACCCAATGCATGTGAACTGCCAGAAGATTCGAGGCAAAGACCCCCCCCCCTGTCATGGGTCCTAGTTCAACGCACAACTCGATAATAAACAACGCAGAATAATAATAATTAGCGTCGTTGTGAAGACACGGATGAGGCAACAAATACAAAGTTTCATTCACACAGAAATTCGCTTTCGTTCATCGAAAAGCGTCCACAATTTGTCAATTGCGTTTACGCGACATTTTGTGAGGTGAACGTTCGCAAACCGAGGGATACCTGTACCGGTTGACTGGTTGTGTCCTCGTTAGGATGTCGTCAATACTCACTGCTGCCATACGACTCTGCACGCACGTTGCGCTTGGTACTAAATCACTGTGATGTGTGTCTGTATGTTGAACTTCTTTCGCACCGCACGTAAGCCAACCGTGCTAATCGGACGTGATAACTGCACCCTGACTGTGAAAACCAACATGCAAAGCACCCTCAAAATAAAAGGCCATATCACGGGTTTGTGCCCTGGTAATATCCCTTCTCTTTACAACACCCCGCTTTTTCCGCAAATACGATTTGTGTTTGCCCAGTTAGAGCACGTAATGGTATTTACAAGGCTGTAATTATAATATTCAAATATGCTCAAAATGTCCCCCCCAATACATTGCTATAAAAATGTTTTCCTATGCTATGTAAATAAAAACAACAATTTTCTGAACCTTGGCCACAACAGCTGGACTTGTCTTCTTTTAAATCAATGCATAGATTTCTGTTTATCTGATTGTGGTTATGGTTGTACTTTATTAATCCCTAATCTCTGCCATTACATACAATTAAACAAGAAATGGTAAAAAAGTAAAAAAACAGAACATTAGACATTATTGTAAAAAATAAATAAAAATTCCATCCCAAGTGTTAGTGAATTTTTTTTATATTTTAGGCAGGAAATTAGTTTTCAAATTTAGATTTGTTTCTGGGTTGGGACCCCCCAGACACCCTGGAAGATTTGGTCCGCCCCAATGTTGACTCCATGGCTACGGCCTTGGTATTTATATAACTTTTTTAGTTTCTAAAATAAGTAATATTTACAAAAACTTTTCTTTAAAACACGCTTTAATGAAATGTACCGTACTATTAATGGAAGAACTCCACAACTCCAGGAAGTGGCCCCGAAGCTAGCCATAACGTAAAGGACCGTCGCGAATTACAGCCAACGTCAGTTTAGCATGGACAATTACACCCAAGCCGAAACATAACATTAAAAATTATGTTTTAAAATATATGTTTTGTATTTTTTATGATAGAATATAGTATTGTCATCAGTATGACATAAGTATACCAAGTTTGCAGTCGATACCGCATTGGGAAGTGGGTAAAAATTGAGTTACAAGATTTGAGGATACAACAACAGACAGTGAGTTTAAAAAAGCGTGTAATAGAAAAAACAACAAATAAAGGTTGAAAACTTTACCAATCAAACAAAAGTCAGAAGCCAAGTACAAAGTGTCCACTCCAAGTCCTACAGTAGCACTGGAGTATCCAGTAGATACTCAAGCGATTCGCTGACGTTGCTGCTGGTGCATTAATAGTGGCGCATAACACAAATCCAGACACTCGGCTTACTAACACAATTCGTTCCTGAGAGCCGTTCGTAAGTGGAATGGCTCGTAAGTCAGAACACTTCAATGCACCATTTAAATGCCCATGTGGTCAGTGTTATGAAATGTGTTACGGTTCAATGAAAAGGGAAGCATTGTTACACTCATAATTTCCAATAAATATTGTACACTTGCATGTAACACGTTTTAAGTGAATGTTATTTTTTCAATATTTCATGGAAGCTGGTTCGTAAGTTGGGTATTCGTAAGTCGAGGACAGCCTGTAAGAGGAAACGACTCCACACACAATAACAACGCCATGTGTGGCAATCAAAAGAAAAAAATTATATAAGGGGTGACGCTTTCGGGCATGGTGCAAAACATCCCCTCCAGTATATGTATATTTTAAGGCCACACCTCGAGTACGTGCTCATAGGGAAGAGCGTGGACTTTCGGAAAATGTGAGGACACTTTCCTGGACGACCACTTCATCTCGACTCAACCCCCCCCCATCCACGCCCTGAAGCTGAAGACAGTGGACAATATGTGTCTGTATTTATGTTGGACTTCTTCCGCACCGTACGTAGCCAACCGTGCTAATTGGCGGTGCGGGACAAAACACATTTCCATTTATTCTTCTTCACGAACCTGCTTCCATTACTCTCTTAAAACAATCCCCATATCTTCTCCCCTAGCCCATCATCATCCAGCTACGACCCCTTTCACTATCCCAACCCCTATCACTACCCCAAACCCTATCACTACCCCAACTGCTATCACTATCCCTATCACTACCCCTAACACTATCCCTTCTCCTATCACTCTTTCGCGAATGCTTTCACACATGACTGTCATACAGTTAGAGCACCAAATATAAAAAAAATACATATGCTTGTTAATGTTATATCACTACTTCTATCACTACCCCTACCATAATCACTACCCCAACCCCTATCACTACCCCAATCACTACTACAACCCCTATCACTACCCCTAATCCTATGGCGACCACTATCACTACCCCAATCACTTCATCAACCCCTACCTCAACCCTTCTTTAACCCCTCCCACCTGTCCTCCTAACTGTCATCATAACTACACCACCACTTTTTTCTTAACAACCCCACTCTTTATTTTAACCATCAATATTTTTTTTACAAACGCCCAAAATGCATGCAAAAACGACCCCAATAAAACTCATTTTTCGGAAGTGACCTGACCATCACAAATGATAGCTCAACGAAGTGGCTTATCATCATCACGTGGAAATGTAGAGCAGCCAAATACTCTAAACGTGTGATGTCGATTCTAAATGTGGAAGAAAAAACCGGAGTTACCTGGAGAAAAATCCACGCGACCACGGGGAAAGAGAGAGAGAAACAGGCAAACTCCAAATATACAACAAGCATCAGGGTCGGGATTGAAGCCACGACCTCCTGCATACCGGGCGAGGTAGTTAACATCTTCTAGCCACCGCGGCTACTTGGGAGCACGCACTTAGCGTGGCACTCACCGGCAATTTGCATGCGAACTGTGTGCCGTCGAGGAGCAGCACCGAGCATTCCACCTCCTTCACCCTGCGGCTCCTAGAGACGCCGCTTAGCGTAGCCAGTTCCAAGCTCGGCGGCGCCACCCCCTCCACCGCGCCAGCGTCGCCGGCCTCCTCCTTGGCGGCCTCCTCAGCTGTGGCCTCCTTGGCGGCCTCCTCGGCATCTCCTCCTCCTCCTACCACCACCGCCGCCGGCTGCTCCCCTCCGCTGGGCTCCGTGTCGTGGGTCGCCACCTGTTGCAGGACGCACGCGTCGTGTGATCCCCCGGGCGACGCTCACACGGACGACGAGAGCGGACGACGAGAGCGGCCTCACCTCGCAATGTCTTCCCGCATCCACACACTCTCAGCAACAACAACAAAAACTATGAATTCACACCAAACGTAGAGACATCATTCGTGTAACTATAACGTAGGTTGTGGGGTTTTTTTCCAAGCACAGGTGTTGCCTCGATTTACGAACGTTCAGTTTTACGGAATTTCGCGTGAACCCAATTGACAAATTGTAGACACTTTGATTAACGAAATCAAATTCCGCACAAACGAAATTTTACTACGGCCACGTGTCGTGAGATCATCAAACGAGAAGCCACCCGAGAGGCTGTGGCGTCGTCATCTGCGATAGCGTCACGGTGTCCTTGCAGTGCAGTAGCACTGCCTCTACATTGCCTTTACACTCATTGCAACATGCAGCAGATCTTTTGGTGAGTTCCCTGACAAGGTTACTTATTTTAGTTTTAAATTCATCGTAATTCGATCTTCATAATATTTATATTCTTTATTGTTATTTTTGTATTGTGTAAGTTGGAATGACTGTCCGAGACACATCCATAATTTTTCGTATTTAATTAATAGGAGCCTTTCCGATTTACAAAATTTAGTTTTTACGGTAATTTTTTTGAAGAACTGCATCCCTTTTGTAGATCGAGGGATACCCCCGTATACCGTATTGCAGCAACATGAGCGATCCCACTTAGATGTGTGACAGCTTTGCAGGGTCCACTTACTGCGTCAGCCAAGTCAAACGTGGCGAGCGTAGCCACCGCCTTCTCCTTCTGCTCCTGCAGCTGCTCCTGCAGCTTTCCGGGGGCTTTCTTGGCACTCTCCTGAAGCTGCGGAACGATCCTCTTCGGGGTTGCCTCTTCTGTCACGTCATTCTTCTCCAGTTCTCCTTCAACCTCCTTCTCAGCTGACTTAACTTCTTCATCTTTTCCGTCCGCGTTCACCTCCGCCTGCTGCAGCTCGCTCCCTCCGCGTAACTTGTCCACACCTCGTTTGCCGCCTGCGGACGACGACCTTGTCTGTTTGAACCAAGACGGCAGGAACCTGGAGAACCCCTTTGCGCCGCCCTTGTCCTTCTTCCCGGAGGAGGGAGACTCCGCTCGCTTGTCCCGAGGGCTCTCTTCAGCGCCTTTCTCCTGCCCGGCGAGGCCCCCTTGCTCAATCTGAAGCTGCTCCGTGACATTCTGAGCGGTGGCCGTCGCCTCCTCGCCGACCTTGACGGAAACGTTTTCCGTCATTTCCTCGTCGTTTTCCTAACGACAAGGAAATTTTAAATTTGTTCAGAGTTAAAAAAAAAGTGTTTTATTTGAAGACACCCATGTTGCCGATACGCCAGCACACGTGCGTTGTCTTCGCAATCGGGACCGACTGGCAACGCTCAGCGTCATTTCGACACTTGCCTTACGCAACCGTGGAGCCGTCAATTTTTCCGTTTGAACCGTCCAATTTTGAAATGTTTGTACGTAGTATCCGAACACCGCCCACTGCTGCAAAAGCTCGACGCAAATTTTAATCGCACGCATACTCTTTTTGTTAAATAGCAAGTTAATCGATCGAGGCCGATCGGCAACTATTTTTTTTACTTTTGTGGAGGGGTAACTAAATTGGCTATTTTTGCTATTTCATTCTAATATGGTTCTGTGTCTATAGGAAGAATGGGATTCAGCCGTACAAGACATGGCACACATTACACAAGACTTGCGATGCTGCTGGCCTTAGGGACTCACTCGTATGGGACACAAACCACATTTACTTTGTTACAGGCTGCCAATTCTTAATCGATCGTGTGAGGATGCACCTTATACCATTAATACTATAATACAAACTGGAGCTATGCCCTTTTAAATCTATCATTGAAAACTTTTTTTTTTTAGAACTGCATTTTGTGTTTAGTTTTACAGGTTTTTTTTGGTTAGATCACGTAAATATCTAAATGTGTCGTTAAACCCGCCACCACCCGACACAGCCAATTAGTCAGGTTTGTTACGTAAACAGAACATGCCAATTGGCCTTGCTCTCCAACACACAGGTGTGCTGTACTAGTGTAGGACTTGAGTTATAGCGCGCCACGCATTCTCTTCCACTGTTGCTATGCGAGCGAGCAGAGTACAGTGGGGTGTATGTGAGGACACGGTTGTTGTTGTGGCATTAGGTGAGAGGGTCGTTAAGTGTTGAGACAGGTGTTCGGGGTAGCCGGGGGGACACAGGCCAGCGATTGGCTAAGAGGGTAATTGGTTATTAGCTGGCGTCGCTCTGGCGGCAATAACAAGGTCACGTGAGACCGGGGGTCAGGGGGCGAGTGATAAGCGGGGGGTTGAGATAATTAATGGGGATTAATTGGTGTGGGGATATAAGCCACAGCGCGACGGAGAGAGGTTCTTCTTGTCTTGGTCGGCGTCTTGGATGGAGCTGCAGCGACGGTGCCCGGGGAATCGCAGAGCAGGCGGTGACGGTAGTAGAGCAGAGATAGAGTGGGTTAGCGGCGACAGATGGAGTAGAGTATAGAGAGACAGTGATAGCGAGAACGCAGTGTGCGAACAGGGGTAGCCATGCATTTGAAGGATGCAGTGTAGAATAGCAGGGGAGTCGACAGACCTAGAGAGAGAGAGGGAGACGCGGAGGAGACGCGGCACGGCGAGAGAGAGAGAGACGCGGAGCGACGCGGAGCGGAGTGAGGGCACGGAGAGACGCGGAGCGGTGGCGCTGCAGAGAGAGACGCGGAGCGGAGTGAGGCCGCGCCGAGACGCGGAGCGGTGGCGCGGCGGAGGTGGACTGTTGAGCGGAAAATAAAGAGAACAGAAAGACAGCCGAGTACGAGTCCTACACTAGTAACGAATTGGCATGTTCTGTTATTGCAATCTAACCCAAAAAACTGTATTATGGATGATACTGGACACGAAAGCCCCCTGCTCCTGTGCTAAACGATGTTTAGTTTGTTGTCCTCTTTCCCACGTAACTCCAATTAACGCGGTTGGCTACGTGCGAAAGAAGTTCAACATACATACGTACAGACTGTTAAGTGAAGACGGAACCGTACGAATCGTACATGTACATCCAGGCCATGGGGTTATGTGGCCATACTTCGCCACGCTGGTCAGTGCGGATTGGTGAAGGTGGGGAGCATAGCGCATTGGGGCATGGTACAGTACAACAAACGACTTTACTGTATTGCCCTGTGCTGACAACATAGCCCCCAACGCAGCCTATAGCACCTGTTTATGCATGGAGGTCACCCATCCCAAATACTATCCAGGCTCAAACACTGCTTAGCTTCCGAGGTCTTGAGGGACGCTCAGCAACGGGAGGGAGGTCTCAGGGGTCAACAATCGTTGAAGGGGAGAGCCCTCGGCCATTGTCCTGGGGCTCGCTCCTGCAGAGCGGAGCAGAGTGATCGCAGTTACACGTAGGAAAACATCACGATTCGCGGTTCTACGACAAATATGTGGAACTGGGTAATTTGTGATGCCTTTGGGAGTGCATATATATACACATGTGTGCGTGTGAAGCAGGGGCCACGCTGCGGCGATCCCCCACCAAGCTCGCGAGGGAGCTGAGCGGTGGCTCATCCACAAGCAGCCTGCGTTGGCGGAGTCCATAACGCAACGGCCTCCAGTAGAGGGGTTGCGAAACGCGCGCGGAGCCGAGGGAATTGCGTCACATGGCCCACTGGGGGCATCTCGTGACCCTCAATCCCAACTCAAATGCACTCAGGAAATATCCCCCTCCATCAACACCCCAACCCACCAACACCCCAACCCATCAATACCCTCACCCAACAACACCCAAACCCAACAACACCCCCACTCAGCAACACCTCAACCCAACAACACCCCAACCCAGCAACACCCTAACCTAACAACACCCCAACCTAACAACACCCCAACCCAACAACACCCCAACCCAGCAACACCCCCAACCTAACAACACACCAACCCAACAACACCCCCACCCAGCAACACCCCAACCTAACAACATCCCAACCCAACAACACCCCCAACCTAACAACACCCCAATCCAACAACACCCCAACCCAGCAACACCCCAACCCAGCAACACCCCCAACATAACAACACACCAACCCAACAACACCCCCACCCAGCAACACCCCAACCTAACAACATCCCAACCCAACAACACCCCCAACCTAACAACACCCCAATCCAACAACACCCCAACCCAGCAACACCCCAACCCAGCAACACCCCCAACCTAACAATACACCAACCCAACAACACCCCCACCCAACAACACCCCAACCCAACAACACCCCCACCCAGCAACACCCCAACCCAACAACACCCCAACCCAGCAACACCCCCACCAAACAACACCCCAACCCAGCAACACCCCAACCCAGCAACAACCCCACCCGACAACACCCCCACCCAACAACACCCCAACCCAGCAACACCCCCACCCAACAACACCCCAACCCAGCAACACCCCAACCCAGCAACACCCCCACCCAGCAACACCCCAACCCAACAACACCCCAACCCAACAACACCCCAACCCAGCAACACCCCCACCCAACAACACCCCAACCCAGCAACACCCCAACCCAGCAACAACCCCACCCAACAACACCCCCACCCAACAACACCCCAACCCAGCAACACCCGCACCTAGCAACACCCCCACCCAACAACACCCTCAATGAGCAACACCCCAACCCAACAACACCCCAACCCAGCAACACCCCCACCCAACAACACCCCCACCCAGCAACACCCCCACCCAACAACACCCCAGCCCAGCAACACCCCAACCCAACAACACCCCAACCCAGCAACACCCCCAACCTAACAACACACCTACCCAACAACACCCCAACCCAGCAACACCCCCACCCAGCAACACCCCAACCCAACAACACCCCAACCCAACAACACCCCAACCCAGCAACACCCCCACCCAACAACACCCCAACCCATCAATACCCCCACCCAACAACACCCAAACCCAACAACACCCCTACTCAGCAACACCCCAACCCAACAACACCCCAACCCAGCAACACCCTAACATAACAACACCCCAACCTAACAACACCCCAACCCAACAACACCCCAACCCAGCAACACCCCCAACCTAACAACACACCAACCCAACAACACCCCCACCCAGCAACACCCCAACCTAACAACATCCCAACCCAACAACACCCCCAACCTAACAACACCCCAATCCAACAACACCCCAACCCAGCAACACCCCAACCCAGCAACACCCCCAACATAACAACACACCAACCCAACAACACCCCCACCCAGCAACACCCCAACCTAACAACATCCCAACCCAACAACACCCCCAACCTAACAACACCCCAATCCAACAACACCCCAACCCAGCAAAACCCCAACCCAGCAACACCCCCAACCTAACAATACACCAACCCAACAACACCCCCACCCAACAACACCCCAACCCAACAACACCCCAACCCAGCAACACCCCCACCCAACAACACCCCAACCCAGCAACACGCCCACCCAACAACACCCCAACCCAACAACACCCCAACCCAGCAACACCCCCACCCAGCAACACCCCCACCCAACAACACCCCAACCCAGCAACACCCCCACCCAACAACACCCCAACCCAGCAACACCCCAACCCAGCAACAACCCCACCCGACAACACCCCCACCCAACAACACCCCAACCCAGCAACACCCCCACCCAACAACACCCCAACCCAGCAACACCCCAACCCAGCAACACCCCCACCCAGCAACACCCCAACCCAACAACACCCCAACCTAACAACACCCCAACCCAGCAACACCCCCACCCAACAACACCCCAACCCAGCAACACCCCAACCCAGCAACAACCCCACCCAACAACACCCCCACCCAACAACACCCCAACCCAGCAACACCCGCACCTAGCAACACCCCCACCCAACAACACCCTCAATGAGCAACACCCCAACCCAACAACACCCCAACCCAGCAACACCCCCACCCAACAACACCCCCACCCAGCAACACCCCCACCCAACAACACCCCAGCCCAGCAACACCTCAACCCAACAACACCCCAACCCAGCAACACCCCCAACCTAACAACACACCTACCCAACAACACCCCAACCCAGCAACACCCCCACCCAGCAACACCCCAACCCAACAACACCCCAACCCAACAACACCCCAACCCAGCAACACCCCCACCCAGCAACACCCCAACCCAACAACACCCCAACCCAACAACACCCCAACCCAGCAACACCCCCACCCAACAACACCCCAACCCAGCAACACCCCAACCCAGCAACAACCCCACCCAACAACACCCCCACCCAACAACACCCCAACCCAGCAACACCCCCAACCAGCAACACCCCCACCCAACAACACCCTCAATGAGCAACACCCCAACCAAACAACACCCCAACCCAGCAACACCCCCACCCAACAACACCCCAACCCAGCAACACCCCCACCCAACAACACCCCAACCCAGCAACACCCCAACCCAGCAACAACCCCACCCAGCAACACCCCAACCCAACAACACCCCAACCCAACAACACCCCTACCCAGCAACACCCCCAACCAACAACACCCCAACCCAGCAACACCCAAACCCAGCAACAACCCCACCCAACAACACCCCCACCCAACAACACCCCAACCCAGCAACACCCCCACCCAGCAACACCCCCACCCAACAACACCCTCAATGAGCAACACCCCAACCCAACAACACCCCAACCCAGCCACACCCCCACCCAACAACACCCCCACCCAGCAACACCCCCACCCAACAACACCCCAGCCCAGCAACACCCCAACCCAGCAACACCCCAACCCAACAACACCCCAACCCAGCAACACCCCCACCCAAAAACACCCCAACCCAACAACACCCCAACCCAGCAACACCCCAACCCAGCAACACCCCAATCCAGCAACACCCCAACCAAACAACACCCCAACCCAGCAACACCCCAACCCAGCAACACCCCAACCCAGCAACATCCCAACCAAACAACACCCCAACCCAGCAACACCCCCACCCAACAACACCCCAACCCAGCAACACCTCCACCCAACAACACCCCAACCCAGCAACACATCCACCGAACAACACCCCAACCAAACAACACCCCAATCCAACAACACCCCAACCCAGCAACACCTCCACCCAACAACACTCAAACAAACAACACCCCAACCCAGCAACACCCCAACCCATCAACACCCCAACCCAGCAACACCCCCACCCAACAACATCTCAACCCAACAACACCCCCACCCAACAACATCTCAACCCAACAACACCCCAACCCAACAAGACCCCAACCCAACAACACCCCAACCCATCAACACCCCAACTCAACAACACCCCAATCCAGCAACACCCCAACCCAGCAACACCCCAACCCATCAACACCCCCACCCAACAACACCCCCACCCAACAACACCCCAACCCAACAACATCCCAACCCAACAACACCCCAACCCAACAACACCCACACCCAACAACACCCCCACCCAACAACACCCCAACCCAACAACACCCCAACCCAGCAACATCCCCACCCAGCAACATCCCAACCCAACAACACCCCAATCCAATAACACCCCAACCCAACAACACCCCAACCCAGCAACACTCCAACCCATCAACACCCCAACCCAGCAACACCCCCACCCAACAACACCCCAACCCAGCAACACCCCCACCCAACAACACCCCAACCCAGCAACACCCCAACCCAGCAACACCCCCACCCAGCAACATCCCAACCCAACAACACCCCAACCCAATAACACCCCAACCCAACAACACCCCAACCCAGCAACACCCCAACCCATCAACACCCCAACCCAGCAACACCCCCACCCAACAACACCCCAACCCAGCAACACCCCCACCCAACAACACCCCAACCCAACAACACCCCAACCCAACAACACCTCCACCCAACAACACCCCAACCCAGCAACACCCCAACCCAACAACACCCCAACCAAACAACACCCCAACCAAACAACACCCCAACCCAACAACACCCCAACCCAGCAACACCCCAACCCAGCAACACCCCAACCCAACAACACCCCCACCCAGCAACACCCCAATCCATCAACACCCCAACCCAACAACACCCCAACCCAGCAATACCCCAACCAAACAACACCCCAACCCAGCAACACCCCAACCCAGCAACACCCCAACCCAACAACACCCCCACCCAGCAACACCCCCACCCAACAACACCCCAACCCAGCAACACCCCAACCCAGCAACACCCCCACCCAGCAACATCCCAACCCAACAACACACCAACCCAATAACACCCCAACCCAACAACACCCCAACCCAGCAACACCCCAACCCATCAACACCCCAACCCAGCAACACCCCCACCCAACAACACCCCAACCCAGCAACACCCCCACCCAACAACACCCCAACCCAACAACACCCCAACCCAACAACACCCCCACCCAACAACACCCCAACCCAGAAACACCCCAACCCAACAACACCCCAACCCAGCAACACCCCAACCAAACAACACCCCAACCCAACAACACCCCAACCCAGCAACACCCCCACCCAGCAACACCCCCACCCAGCAACACCCCAATCCATCAACACCCCAACCCAACAACACCCCAACCCAGCAACACCCCAACCAAACAACACCCCAACCCAACAACACCCCAACCCAGCAACACCCCAACCCAGCAACACCCCAACCCAACAACACCCCAACTCAGCAACACCCCAACCCAGCAACACCCCAACTCAGCAACACCCCAACCCAGCAACACCCCAACCCAACAATACCCCACCTCAGCAACACCCCCACCCAACAACACCCCAACCCAACAACACCCCAACCCAGCAACACCCCAACCCAGCAACACCCCAACCCAACAACACCCCCACCCAGCAACACCCCCACCCAGCAACACCCCAACCCAGCAACACCCCAACCCAGCAACACCCCCACCCAGCAACATCCCAACCCAACAACACCCCAACCCAATAACACCCCAACCCAACAACACCCCAACCCAGCAACACCCCAACCCATCAACACCCCAACCCAGCAACACCCCCACCCAACAACACCCCAACCCAGCAACACCCCCACCCAACAACACCCCAACCCAACAACACCCCAACCCAACAACACCCCCACCCAACAACACCCCAACCCAGCAACACCCCAACCCAACAACACCCCAACCCAGCAACACCCCAACCAAACAACACCCCAACCCAACAACACCCCAACCCAGCAACACCCCCACCCAACAACACCCCAACCCAACAACACCCCAACCCAACAACACCCCCACCCAACAACACCCCAACCCAGCAACACCCCAACCCAACAACACCCCAACCCAGCAACACCCCAACCAAACAACACCCCAACCCAGCAACACCCCAATCCATCAACACCCCAACCCAACAACACCCCAACCCAGCAACACCCCAACCAAACAACACCCCAACCCAGCAACACCCCAACCCAGCAACACCCCAACCCAACAACACCCCAACTCAGCAACACCCCAACCCAGCAACACCCGAACTCAGCAACACCCCAACCCAGCAACACCCCAACCCAACAACACCCCAACTCAGCAACACCCCCACCCAACAACACCCCAACCCAACAACACCCCCACCCAGCAACATATCAGCAAACACTCCCCCTTCCCTCCCCTCCCGGAGCCACCATCCCCGTCCTCCGTTGTCATGGCGACCTCAACCCATTCCGCAACCCCGGACTCGTCGCTCATACACAGAGGGGGGGGGGGGGCTGAGGGGGTTGGGGGGGTAGGAGGGTGGCCCCCACCTCCTGCGCGACCCTTGCGCCATACATGGCGGATGGTGGTGAGCCGCAGCACGGAGCTACGGCGCGAGCGAAGCCCCCTCCATCCCTCCCATCGCCTGCCCGTCCAGAACCCTCGCCGCTCACGGCAGCGCCGCGTCCCCTCGGAGCCGCGCTCAGCGCCGCTCCACTCGGCTCATTCACGCAGCCACTCGTTCATTCGTGACCTTTCGTTCCCCCACCTCATTCACTCTCTCATTCATTCGTCCCGTTACCCTGGTCCTGGGGCAAGGAGGCACGGGGGCTGTTGTCATAGCGAGCGCCCCCCCAGCCCCGCCCACGCGTCCCAGCCCCGCCCCCAGCCCCGCCCACGCGCCCCAGCCCCGCCCCCAGCCCCGCCCACGCGCCCCCAGCTTCGCCCCCAGTCCCGCCCACGCGCCCCCAGCCCCGCCCACGCGCCCCTAGCCCCGCCCACGCGCCCCCAGCCCCGCCCACAGCCCCGCCCACGCGCCCCCAGCCCCGCCCCCAGCCTCGCCCACGCGCCCCCAGCCCCGCCCCCAGCCCCGCCCACGCATCCCAGCCCCGCCCACGCGTCCCAGCCCCGCCCACGCGCCCCCAGCCCCGCCCACGCGCCCCAGCCCCGCCCACGCGCCCCCAACCCCGCCCACGCGCCCCCAGCCCCGCCTACAGCCCCGCCCATGCGCGCATCGCCTCGAACACGCGTCCCCAGCCCCGCCCACGCCCCTCCAGCCCCGCCTACACGTCCAGAACCCCGCTCAGTCCCGCCTATGCGGCCCGAGCTCCGCCCCCCCACAAGCCCCGCCCACGCACCCCCAGCCCCGCCCAACGCATCCCAGCCCCGCCCCTATCCCCGCCCACGCGCCCCCAGCCCCGCCCAACGCATCCCAGCCCCGCCCCTATCCCCGCCCACGCGCCCCCAGCCCCGCCCACGCAGTGACACCACCTCCCACGTCCACTCGACATTGCGGGATAATTGAATGGTGGGGCTCCGTTTTCTTCAAAAAAATCCGTGATTTCCATGAGGGTTATTTACAGCTCGTCATGTCATTTTCTGCTGTGACACGCTTGTAATCCAGCACTGTGTGGAGGTGAGGGTTTGTGGGTTCGAACGAATGTACAGCAAGTGGACTAATTGCCATCTGTACGGGGATCGAGTGTTGCCCCCTCGCTCGTGGGTTCTCTCCGGGTGTTCCGGTTTTCTCGCACGCGTATAAACTCTCATCATTAATTGGCTAAAAACGTACTTTTTTTAATCCCTATGCAGGACCCTCCTGAAAACGACGACTACGACTCATTGTGGCTTTCCAGGATGAATAGGTTAATTATTATTACTAGTCTCGACCACCGGCCGTCTCCCCACGTGCATTCCCACCGTACTGGGTCCCAGCACGAGAACGGTCCCAGGGCACAGGATCGTAGCTTCACCTCTGGGATTGGGGCTTGTCGTCATGCAGACTTGTAAAATGTTTCAGTTTGGTGTTTTAACATCTTAAACCTATTATCAGATATATGGATGTCTACGAAAAAGAACTTCATAGCTCATCGGATTCCTCCTCCAATCTAAATCTAAATCAAGATTCCGATTACAACAAAGGGGACTGTACCAGTGTCCCCTGCCCCGCTACAGCCGCCGTTACTCGCCTCGGGCTTTAGCTGCACTGACGCTGCAGTGGAATTTTTTCTATTTGTCTCTGTGTGTCTCTGTCTCTCTATGCAGGGTGTCCGGGAGACCGTGCACGCGACTGGGCCCTCTTTAAATCCGCTGCGAAGCGTTGTTCAGAAGAGCAACTTTTTCAATCTCGCTTGCAACACCGTGGGCCCCCCTTCCACGGGCAGTTCGGAGGGAGCGTTGCTGAGATAATCTGTCTCGACGTTTGGGTCGCCAATCGAGAGTATCTATGAGCCCCCGGTGGTGGACACAGTGGTAACGCTTGAGCCTCAGCAATAAACATATGGGTTCGATCCCAGACTTCGGTTGCCTGCGTGTAGCTTGTACGTTTTCCCCTGTTGCAGGAAAGTCTTAACAGACTTGTGGGGGCAAGTGCTCTTAGCGAGCACAAATGAAGGCCGACACGGCACACGGGGGGTGGGTGGCGAGCCACGGGGGGTGGATGGCGAGCACCACACCCGGCTGCCTTTGTTGTTTATACACCACACTAGTTACTAATGTGTTGTTTATACACCACACTAGTTACTAATGTGTTGTTTATACACCACACTAGTTACTAACTTGTTGTTTATACACCACACTAGTTACTAATGTGTTGTTTATATACCACACTAGCTACTAATTTGAGGTTGAGTCAACCTCGGGGATGCCCACAACCAGTTCAGATGATTGGTGCTGGCCGTGAGTGGGAATCGAACTCGGGTCGCCGAACTCGGGTCGAAGGGCAGCGCGCTGACCGCTGCACCACCGCTCCCCACCAAAACGAACACACACGTTGTACAATGTAGCTGGTGTTGGTCAAACATCCCAATGCAACATGTGACTGCAATTTACTCATTTGAGATTTTATTCGGCAAGTATGTGCACGCTTGACATTTAGTCATTTAAAAGTGATAATGGAGTCTGGCATGTAACAAGAATCACAAAACCGCAATACATTTTTAATACGTATTTCTATATCTGTTTACGTCACACTGTTGTCAATGCCCAGCATGTTCACCGTCGCGAGGTTGCATAGTAATATCACGATGGAAGTCTTCGTTTTCAAAGTTTAGTTAATAAAACAAGTTAGAAAAGTGTAAAAAATAAAACATACATACAAAACGTTCGTTTAACATTCTGGCTCGTGCTTTACTATTGCATTCAAAACATTGAACTACGGTACTCCCGAGTGGTTAAGAGTTCAAGACAACGCGTCGAGCGAATGAAGGACGAAACAACGTCCGCCCACCTCCCGTCGCGTGTCGTCATAGACACACGGCGCCCTCGTGTTGCAGGAGACGAGAGAGAAGGGTGAAACCACCGGCTCATGACCTCTGCGAGTTCATCGCTGCAAGTCCCCAACGCTTCTTTCCGCTTCAGTCTTCCCTCGAGTGAATTTACGCTCCCAACGTCCCGAACACACAGTTTGGTCATTCACAAACACTGCAAGGTTCCACAAATGTAAGTTAATGTATAAATAAAAAACAGTATACGTACAGTATACGTCTGGTGTCAAAGGATCACATTTCCAACCAAGCAAGGTTGAGTACTGATGAGACGCTAAACACCAACACGGGTCCAGAGTTTGCTTGCGTTGAACAAATGGCCTCTTGCTTTCTCACCTGCTAAAAAAAAACTGGGAACGTGAAACTATGTCACAATTGTTCGGGGCGTTTTTTTAATTTGAGCTTTGAGTGCAGCACTCTTTAAAATATGCACATGCAAGACTGGCACACAATCCCACATGTCAATGTAAATTACCAGAATTGTGTAAATAACCGAGATATATACCTGAACTCAAAATTTCGCGTGACTGGGGGTCGCATGCTTCGATTTACTGCCTCACCCAGTTAAATAAAGGCCTAATTTTTCACGACTAAAATTACCCACGAACCAAATTTTGGTCACGTCTCCTTCACGCTAAAAACGTTTTCCACGCGGCTTCATATTGAAAAATCACGAGTGGTATCTACGAGCATGCGAATGTGACGTTTTCAAGAGAAGAATGACAAAACACTGAGTTGCAATGGCGTTTCAAGTAGTCACAGTGGTGCCCAGTGGAACTGCATTGGCCCTCTGAATTATTCTGGAGGTATTTGTACAGTCTGTTCTCCTGTAACGCGCAGTTTTCATAAAGCGAATTGGATATAATGCGATGAATGTATTTAGGGAACACATTTTTTATAATGTGGATGCGAATTGGATATAACGCAATCAAGCGAATGGAACTACTTCGCGTGAGTAGGAATAAGCAATTGTACGGCTGCCTCGGCATAACGTTGCACAAGGCGGGATGCTGCTGGATGCTTCTAGATGCTACCCACGCACCTCAGTCTTTGTTCAGCCGGCGTACGCATCTCACGTGTTATCGTGGACTGTGCTTTATATTATTTATCATAACGCGAATTTTCCGGAACGCGGTGTTCTTCAGGAACACAACTACTACTGCGTTATAGGAGAACAAGACTGTACTTTGTAAAATAAGACAACACAGACTTGGACAGAACAATAGTGGTGAAAAACATGACACTTCATAAGTCTACTTTATGTAACGGTAAACCGTTTTAACTTAAAAAACACTCGTTTAAAATGTCATGTTTTTCAACAGTGTCACGGATACGCTTAATTAAAATCAGGAAGTTGTCATTTTAGCCGACGCCCATGACGAACTCATCATCAAGCTCAGCGGTAAGAGACTCAACATGTTCAGCAATAACACTTCGGCCGTAAACGTTACATATTCAACAGGTGACATTTTGGGCTCGTGACCCTTTCTTCAGAGAGAATGAAGCTAAGCAGATTTGAGACTGGATAGTGCCTGGATGGGTGACGGTCATGCACAACAGGCGCCATCGGCTGCTGCACGGCTATGTAATGGGCAGCAAAGGTCAGTAGAGTAAAACATATTGTTGTAATGTACTTCTATGCATCCACATCTATGATCCCTGCATCACCAACCCACACTGACCGGTGATAAGTATGGTAAAAAAAACTCCACCCTGCAGTGTGGGGAGGGCCTTGGATTTACGTGCATACATTCACCCTGGCATGCCTAATGAGTGGAAGTTTGCCAGTTCAAATCTTCGTCGTGGTAGACTCAGCCTATCACTTTTCTCGGGTCAACACATTAAGAATCTCTTTGCGGGCAATCAACAGTGGTTGTCCCCTGAATAGGCTGGTCCCTGCCACAGGAATGTGAAATTCTCACACTGTCGCTAAGGTCATCAATAAATTAGCGTTACAGAATACTCCCTGAAGATGCGGATTTTTTTACGTGAATCCAATCAAAGGCCATCGTAATTGCGCAATTAATTTTAACAATGTTAAGATGAAATGCGAGTCAAATACAAAATACAAATGTCTTTGTCTTTTGGTATTTTATAGCGCTTTGTTAAGTGACAATCTTGGTAGCTGTTATCGAGTAACCCCCAGTCTCCCGACTAAAATGCGCTCCGCACAGCTGCTCGCTGAACCCCACTCGCGACGATGACGGCTGCGGAGCGCGGACCTCTATAGTTTGATTTCAAGGCTTAAGTACAGGTGTCCATCATGGGCACGTCGTCACCCTGCTTATTGTTGCTCTGGATCGCCCACTGCTGAAGCCGGCTGTAAAAAGGGTAAGCCTTGTTGTTTTGGAAGCTGTGGCACAGCCCCGTGATCTTTTCCCACTTGTCCCCGGGCAGCTGATTCAGGTTCTGCTCGCTCTCCACGGGCAGGCCCTTCTCCTCCGTGCGGAGAAAGCCAAAGAAGCGGCGCACGTTGTTGGCCGCGACGCTTCGGGCATGCACCTCGGAGGTCTGCTCAAAGAGCCGGGCCTCGTGGTCCAGGTACTGCGACAGGTAGGTGGCCTGCAGGTGGCCCATGGGAGAGATGCACGCTGTTCCGACCAAAAGAACAACAACACACAGTTATTAGCGGTGGCGGCGGTAAACACTCGTGCCTCACGGCACGCCTCCCTTAGGTTCGATCCCCGACTAGGGCACCTTTTTGGGTTTTCCGATTTCTTCCCATAGCTAAAACAACCCCCATACAATGCACCTAGGTATTGGCCAAATATAACCAGCAAATAACTCAATTGGGGATTGCACAGAGCAATACTTGGCAGGACCCTCCTGAAATGTCGTTGGACTCAGCGAGGGCTCTCCTGGGTAACAGGCGAAATAACATAGATTGACGTTTAGTCTTACAATTAACACTACGAAGAGTTGCAGAAAAATCCATAAAGCGTCATGTTCATGTGCTTAACGGGCACGGCCACAGAAAGCTATGCACACCCCGATCACACAGTCTGTCTCGTCTCCTTATGTTGACCAATGCCAGGAGTCGGCAATGTCACAGCTGAGAAAAGAAATATTTATTTCCTGTGGTGACAAAAGGCGTTAAACAACTCACATTTTAAAAAGCAGGCAAGCCAGCACATGCTACATGTAAAGTAGAATGCATCTCACGCCACATCATCACTTCCTTCTGCTCCTGTCCACAGCCGTTAACCAAGTGTATGTTATATGGTACGTATGTTGAACTTCTTTCGAACCGTACGTAGCCAACCGTGCTTATTGGAGGTGCGGGGGAACAACAAACAATGGATCTCTATGTGAGTCAATGGGTCTCTGTGTGAGTCTATGGGTCTCTGTGCGAGTCTATGTATTATGTTGAACTTGTTTCGCACAGTACGTAGCCAACCATGCTTATCGAAGGTGCGGGGGAAGGGCAAAAACTATGAGTCGCTGTGCGATTTTGTGGGTCTCTGTGCGAGTCTATGTATGTATGTAGAACTTTATTTCCCACCGTACATAGCCAATCGTACTAATCGGAAGTGGAATCCAGTCCTCCAAGCTCTGCTCTTACAGCAGTGCTTTTCAAACCTTTCTGGTATGGTGCCTACAAATCAAGTCCACTTGACCCCTCTAGGACCAGAGAGAGGTCACTTGAAGGGATCTCAGAGGTAGCTCTGCGATATCCGCTACTGTGGGCTGTTTTCCGACACGAAGGGTCGCACTTCCCCATGAGGTTCCCAAACGGATTGCTTTACAATCGAGAAACAATTGGGGAAAAAAGACAATCAGGAATTTCGCTTCCTGGTTTGCCACACTTATGACACGCACCAGGTGGTTGTTTTTTTAAGTGACGACCTGCAGAAAGAATGAGCCTTTAACCAAATCACCCGCAGTGCACCCGATCTTATCAGATGTCACTCGCCCAGCATGGCTGAGCATAGCTGGTGCAGGGAAAGGTGGTCAGTCACCATGCGGGCCAGATAATCAGAGGCGACATCGCGGGTAGTAGGCCGGCAGTGTGGACTGCAATTCTATGCTCCCATGGTGTCTGTGCATGGCGAAGTATGGTTGAACAACCCTCATCCAAGTGCCTTGCTGGGCTCACTCATTTTATTTGTAAACTTATAACACTTTAAGTAAATGTGTTAGGTTATTGCTATGGGGCCATTTTTTCCAGTATCAAAATGATGAAAAAAGAATAGGTTTTAGCCTTTCCAGCAATAATGCAGGTGTTAAGATGTTCAACCACCAAACACCAATTGCAAGGCATCAAGTTTGCATTGACCACACATGCTTGTGGTAAAACATGCAAACAAATATGCTTTCATAATGTATGCATGGTCTTTTAAACGTATTGGCCTACACCAGAGACAGCCTCGTGTATGGCCTTGTCTGACCAGTGTTAGACCAGAGAACGCCAAAACACGAACTGCAATGCAAATATAAAAGCGTTAATAGCTCGGGTTGAACAGTTATATCTGTGGAGCCATTTTTTTGCTGGTATCAAGATGATGAAAAAATCAAAGGCTTTTACCCTTTCTGGCAACAATACAGGATGTGTTAAGATGTTCAAACACCAAACAGACACCTCTTTACAAGGCATCAAGTCCGCATTTTTTTTTATCAAATGTCTTTGGCGTTAATTCCTTGTCAACTTAATTTCACATGAATAATAATGCATGGATTAAATTATTTGCAGGATGCCAGACATCCCCCAGAGGTTTGATCTGGCATCCAGAGGTTTGACTGGACATGTTATTACTGCGAGTTGGCGATTTTCAGGGATCCCTCGAATTACGAACGTTCAGTTTCAGAAATTGTATCTTATTTTATACCTACGTGACTTTACCAAAAGAACCAAAGAGTATGGATTCCTGCAGTCACAAAAGCTTCAAATCAAGATTGAATTGATAAATTGTGGACACTTTTCGAAATGAACGAAATCGAAGTTCTGCTCGAACGAAATTTCACGACAGCCACGCGCGCCGTGATATCATCAAACAAGATGCTCACCTCGAACACACATGCTGAAGAAGAGGATGAGTCCTGCGCTCCCAATCAAGATCCAGCCCATGAGCTACAACCAGACACAGCAGCAGCACAATCGTGTCAAACCAGCGAATCAAAGCACAATTCCTCGTGGCTCCCACGTGCAGGTAACAATATAAGCAAGCGATGCACACAGCATTCACATTCAGCACTAAAATGGAGACGCTCACTATAATCGTACCACTATTGGTTCAGAAATGCTGATATGTACTGTATGCATGTTGAACTTCGTTCGCACCGTACGTAGCCAACCGTGCTAATCGGAGGTACTGAAAAACATATTCAGCAGATTTTCAATTATCCGCGTGCGGTTTATCCAATTTGCACACCTGATATTTTCATATAAATTAATAACTCATGGATTTTTCCTTAAGCCCAAATTAATAATCTAAACACAGTTATACACTGTTTTTCTTGTAAATGTGTATTACAAGTCAGGTGCTTAAACTGAACAAATATGTGCTCCGGTTCACCAGAAATCCACGTGACCGCCTCTACAGTACAGGAGTTAGCGTGGCTCTGATGTCCACTTAGTGGGTAGAGTCTTCTGCACGGGAGCAGGAAAGTGTCATCACTGAGCATGCGCATAATCAATTGCTCGATTCTTTACTTCAAATTTTAGTTTAGTTGATTAACAAACTCAATTTTCTTAACTTAAACATAATGTATACATAATATTCGTGTTTTTTGGCATAGAGATCCGTGGAAAATTTATATTTTGGGATTATCCGTGATTTTGAATTATCCACGGCCGTCCTCCCGGTCATTAACGTGGATAATCGAATCTACTGTATGTGTAGGAAAGACATGGAATGACACGTATACTGTATTTATGTCAGTAGTACTGCTAACTACGACAGTTACTTACTGTAATTTGCTGACCCCGTCCCGACTGGACATCTGTGCAAAAGAGCTTCACAGCTCATCGGATTCCTCCTCCAGACTAAATAAATAAACTGATGTGTATTTGTGTTTATTTGGATAATAATGATAAAAGGTTACAACCACCTGTATTAATTTTTCAAAAGAATGTGATATTGCTGGCCATCACGCCTTACTGTCAAGGATCAAGCTAAGCTTCTGGCATCGGCTGGGAATCGCCGTGCGGGTTTTGACACCACGCAGAGGGAACGCAATGATGCCAGGCATGGACAACATGTTTTAACAAGCCCAAGGGCCTAGGGCAAGTATTCTGCTTAATAGACACCACCTTAGCGGTTCCAATTTATTGATGCAGCCAACAACAATGAATTAATTATATGATTTGATAATCGTTTGAAATGCGCGTGTTATCGACAGCAAATCGCTTTTGACAGCCATGTAAATACATCAGTGGGGGTCAAGTTTTTCTACCTGATGTGGTACCAGTTTCTGTTCTGGCCCACGGACTAACCAATTCTCAACCCCCACCACCCCCCATGCAATGAGGTCACAATTCAAGAACACATTTTGTCGACATTTTCACGCACACAATAAGACACGTTCATTTTGCGTTTAAGACTTGATGCGCCTAGATTTTTTTCTAAAACAGTTTTTCTCGCAACAGTTTGTCTTGTCAAGCAAACACAACAAAAATACCAACAATTTAGGAAAATCTTGATCTGCATTTTTATTCCGACTTCCTGAATCGTATCCGAATGGATGCTTTACGTAGTCTCAGGCGAAACTTAGCCAACTGATAAATTTCGTTGTGAGAAATGTTCAACTCACCGGTAGGAGGTGAAACAACAGCAATAAGTGGCCTATTAAACACTCGAATACGTGGCAATTTAATGTTTGTTTGGCAGTGTTGGGTGGTGGAAAGTCTTAACAAAGATGTTGCTGGGCTACACATCCTAACAAAACATTTAACTCCGAATCTTGGTGCTGGCTGCGAAAATGTAAGTCAGGTAGTCCTCTACTTACGATGGAGATGCGTTACAACGACCCCATCGTAAGTCAAAAATATCGTAAGTCGAAGATGGCCTAGCCTACCCAGGAGTCTTTATCACTATTCTTTAGCAAAACAGAGCAATTTACAGGACCGTACTGTATAAACTATATACTGTATGCATTTATTAATTACAATACTGTATTGCACAGTAAAATGTAAAGTAAAAACAAGGTAAATTATAGCCTACCTATATGAACTGCAATTTAATAGAAAGTTTTTTTCAGGAAACAATCCTATCTGCATCACACAAGGCGGGAGATGCGTACATCCCGGCAGCGCCCCAACGTACAGCATCGTATCTCGTACGCTGCTGCGTTTGCCTGCCGCGCGAAATTTAAAATATTTTACAATTTTGTCGTATAGTTATCGTAAGATCGAAATATCGTAAGTCGGACCATTGTAACTCGGGGACTATCTGTATAAAGTGTAAAGTTATAGTCTACATAAAACAGGAAAGTGACTGGCGCATACGACGTGGTTTGCTTAGCCTATTATAAATCGGTCGCTTAGATTAACATATCCCATCCCGCGTTTTAAATCCAACCAGATATCAGATTAGACGCCATTATGATCTAATATTTTTATTTCACCAAGTAAGGCCCACTGAGCTACGTAGCTCTTTTTCGGAAGCGACCTGGCCACAAATGATAGCTCAACGAAGTGGCTTATCACGTGGACATTTATAGCAGCCAAATACTCGAAACGCATGTTTCTGCATGTGGAAGGAAAACCCGGAGGACCCAGAGAACACAAGACTCCAAATAACACGATATCTCTAACGGTTTGGCGTAAAAATGTTTTGGTTCTATAACAATCATTCAAGCAAAACAAAAGTTAATTTTGATAGTTTTTTTTAATAATCACATCTGCGTGCCAGATTACCACACAGGGCAAGGCCGTAGCCATGGAGTCAACATTGGGGGGGACCAAATCTTTCTGGGGGTCTGGGGGTCCCCCCCTAGAAAAAAAAATCTAAATTTGAAAACGAATTTCCTACCTAAAAAAAAAAATCACTAACACATAGGATGGACTTTTTATTGATTTTTTACAATAAAGTCTAATAGTGTATTGTATTACATTGCTGTTCTTTTCTTTGTTACATTTTCTTGTTTCATTGTATGTAATGGCAGAGATTATGGATTAATAAAGCACAACCACGCCAGAAGCTCGCTACAACAGTGGGGGAGGGGGGGGGGGGATAACACGCGGCCCAGGTACGCATCGTGGGTCCGTGGTCTGTGCTCCCCACGCGGAACGCCACGACGTCTGCAGCTGCTGCTGCACTCTGCGACTTGAACTCGCAACCCTCCTAACGACCGCTCGACCACGGGACCACTCGCGTCACTCTGGAAAGCGTGGGAACACAGACGGTGCAAAATGACACACACACACCTCGTAGTGGCACGGTTGGCTACGTGTGGTGTGAAAGAAGTTCAACATACATACGCACACACTATGGCTGTGTGTGTAGAGTTTTCTTAGAGAGTTTTGTGAACGGTGCGTGCCAGTCAACTGCTGGATGGTGGCCTCTTGACGCCCGATCGTTCCATGGGGATTGTTTGGCAGCTATTCGTGACGAATTTACTATGAATAGCCTCAACTTGCACCAAGAGAGACCTTCCCCAAAAGGATGTTCCCTGGTTATCATTGCCAGATTATCAATGCTTGGTTATCATTGCCAAGTTATCATCGCCAGGTTATCATTTCCAGGTTATCAATACCAGATCATTGCCAGGTTATCATCGCCAGATTATCATTTCCAGGTTATCAATACTAAGTTATCATTTCCAGATTATTATTATTGCCAGGTTATAATTTCCAGGTTATCCGGTCATCGCTGTCAGGATACGAGGCAGTTATCGCTCTGCACGCACTACGGGCAGGAGGGATCCGTTTCGGTGGAAAGGGAGGAGGACCTGGCTTGCGACGTCGAGAGGAGGGAGACGTCGAGAGACGTGGTTATGATCGAGATGAGTTGTGGTCTCTGAGTTGTAGTCTCTGAGTTGTAGTCTCAGTCCACGTGGGAGTGCCCGATGTCTACAAAGGGACACGGGAAGCTGCCACGTGAAGCCCACGAGCGCGCCAGAAACCCGCCACTGGCTTTCCGTGCCATCCACGGTGACCCACAACAAGGCGCCAGGCTGCCACCGACACCTGTCTCGCTTTGCCTCTCCTTTAACCTCCGACCACGGAGAAGCGCTGGAACTCTCTCTTCGTCTCATGCGAAGCGTTCAACAAACTCCCCAATCAGTCAACGACCGCTGTGGGGACTGCGCTCCTCCATCGGAGGAACAGCAAGCAACACGACCTCGACATTCATTTGATGCCGATGCCATCGTCATCGTCCCTGCATCATTTGGCGTTTTGCGGTGACGGATTCGGTGATGGATCTGGGGGGAACGCCACCGTGGGGATACAAATACATCGGTTGTTGTTGTTGTTTACCATCATCATGGTCATGACGGGTGGTTACCTGGGACTCGTACTTGAGTTGCCGGAGCATCGCGTCCCGAGAGAATCCCGGGGCCAGGTTCAGTCCGAGCGGCTCCCCCTTGCAGGGCACTGCGGCCAAGTCGTGGCGCGGCGCGTCGCGGCTTGGAGTGACCGCCACGCCGCCGCCGCCGCGCACGAACTCCCCGGGACTCCTGAACTCGCTGGCGGCGCACACGTAGAAGTCGCCCGACAGCAGCGAGACGGCGATCCACGTGAGCGGTGCCACGGCAGCGCGGGTCGCCACGCCGAGCAGGGCGCCGAGCAGGGCGCCGAGCGGCGTGGGCGCGGAGCCGCGGCCGCGGCGGCAGCAGTCGCCCAGCAGCAGCCACGCGGTGGGGTTGAGCGTCCAGCCGAGCGCGAGCAGCAGCAGGGCGGGCACCCCGATGGCGACCACCCCGTACGCGTAGTTGGCGGTGACGGCGCAGGGGCAGTTGTAGGCGAGCAGCGAGAACAGCTGCTGCCCGCCCAACGTCGTGAGCGCGATGCCGCCGTTCACCAGCGAGATGCTGTTCGCGCGCAGGAACTGCGCCAGGCTGTTCATCTTGTCCATGGCGACGGGCGGAGAGCCGAGAGCTGACCGGAGACCAGTTCCCTGCGACCAATTCTCCGTCACCAGCGAACTCCCCGCGACCAATTCTCCGCTCCCAGCTCCCCGCGACCACTCGCCACTCCCTCGCCGCCCCCCTCTCTCTCTCTCCCCGGGGCGGGCAAGCGCAGGAAGCGCCTCCTTCGCCAAGTGGCGAGTTTCCTTCTCGCCGCGTTCCTCACTGCGGAGGAACCGCGCCCCGCTCACACGGATCCTCGGAGATGCATAGCAAAGACAAAGATCCCCGCACCTCCGTGTAGCCTCAACAGGCTGTTGGGGCAAGTGCTGCTCGCGAGCACCCTCTGAGGGTCGACGCGGCGCACGAGGGGGGGGGCAGCGCCACTCCCCTCCGCCTTTGTCTCCCCGGCGCTGGCGATGTTTACCACACCGCGCCAGCTACTCGATCGAGGCCGAGTCGCATGTATGTATGGTGAACTTCTTTCGCACCGTATACAGCCACCCGTGCTGATATACACACACAAATACCATAAACATGCACATTTCTCATACAGTACAACATACGAAGATTCCCCGTATTCCCTTAACAGACTGTTGGGCAAGTACTGTAAGCGAGCACCTATGAACCAGGTACTCATTTGAGGCAGAGTCGACCTAGGAGAGGCCCAGAACCTGCTCAGGGTTCGCCACTGGTGTTGGCCGGGTTCGGAGCGCAGCCGCATCACTCTGCGAGCGCGACACAGCTGCGGTCTGACCCGAGACCGTCAGACGAAGCCCTCCTGCAAGGTCGTGTGACTGATGCGTCAACTACAAACACTTCGTGGGGTTCGTCACGCAGGCAGGCGGCGGCGGGTTGGGGGCATTGTCTGTCAGGGTCGCGGCGGGTTGGGGGCATTGCCCGTCAGGGTCACGGCGGGTTGGGGGCATTGTCTGTCAGGGTCACGGCGGGTTGGGGGCATTGCCCGCCAGGGTCACGGCGGGTTGGGGGCATTGCCCGTCAGGGTCACGGCGGGTTGGGGGCATTGTCTGTCAGGGTCACGGCGGGTTGGGGGCATTGCCCGTCAGGGTCACGGCGGGTTGGGGGCATTGTCTGTCAGGGTCGCGGCGGGTTGGGGGCATTGTCTGTCAGGGTCGCGGCGGGTTGGGGGCATTGCCCGTCAGGGTCACGGCGGGTTGGGGGCATTGTCTGTCAGGGTCACGGCGGGTTGGGGGCATTGCCCGTCAGGGTCACGGCGGGTTGGGGGCATTGCCCGTTAGGGTCACGGCGGGTTGGGGGCATTGTCTGTCAGGGTCGCGGCGGGTTGGGGGCATTGCCCGTCAGGGTCACGGCGGGTTGGGGGCATTGTCTGTCAGGGTCGCGGCGGGTTGGGGGCATTGTCTGTCAGGGTCGCGGCGGGTTGGGGGCATTGCCCGTCAGGGTCACGGCGGGTTGGGGGCATTGTCTGTCAGGGTCACGGCGGGTTGGGGGCATTGCCCGTCAGGGTCACGGCGGGTTGGGGGCATTGTCTGTCAGGGTCGCGGCGGGTTGGGGGCATTGTCTGTCAGGGTCGCGGCGGGTTGGGGGCATTGCCCGTCAGGGTCACGGCGGGTTGGGGGCATTGTCTGTCAGGGTCGCGGCGGGTTGGGGGCATTGCCCGTCAGGGTCACGGCGGGTTGGGGGCATTGTCTGTCAGGGTCGCGGCGGGTTGGGGGCATTGTCTGTCAGGGTCGCGGCGGGTTGGGGGCATTGCCCGTCAGGGTCACGGCGGGTTGGGGGCATTGTCTGTCAGGGTCACGGCGGGTTGGGGGCATTGCCCGTCAGGGTCACGGCGGGTTGGGGGCATTGCCCGTTAGGGTCACGGCGGGTTGGGGGCATTGTCTGTCAGGGTCGCGGCGGGTTGGGGGCATTGCCCGTCAGGGTCACGGCGGGTTGGGGGCATTGTCTGTCAGGGTCGCGGCGGGTTGGGGGCATTGCCCGTCAGGGTCACGGCGGGTTGGGGGCATTGTCTGTCAGGGTCGCGGCGGGTTGGGGGCATTGCCCGTCAGGGTCACGGCGGGTTGGGGGCATTGTCTGTCAGGGTCACGGCGGGTTGGGGGCATTGCCCGTCAGGGTCACTGGCGGGTTGGGGGCATTGTCTGTCAGGGTCGCGGCGGGTTGGGGGCATTGTCTGTCAGGGTCGCGGCGGGTTGGGGGCATTGCCCGTCAGGGTCACGGCGGGTTGGGGGCATTGTCTGTCAGGGTCGCGGCGGGTTGGGGGCATTGCCCGTCAGGGTCACGGCGGGTTGGGGGCATTGTCTGTCAGGGTCGCGGCGGGTTGGGGGCATTGTCTGTCAGGGTCGCGGCGGGTTGGGGGCATTGCCCGTCAGGGTCACGGCGGGTTGGGGGCATTGCCCGTCAGGGTCACGGCGGGTTGGGGGCATTGTCTGTCAGGGTCGCGGCGGGTTGGGGGCATTGTCTGTCAGGGTCGCGGCGGGTTGGGGGCATTGCCCGTCAGGGTCACGGCGGGTTGGGGGCATTGTCTGTCAGGGTCGCGGCGGGTTGGGGGCATTGCCCGTCAGGGTCGCGGCGGGTTGGGGGCATTGTCTGTCAGGGTCGCGGCGGGTTGGGGGCATTGTCTGTCAGGGTCGCGGCGGGTTGGGGGCATTGCCCGTCAGGGTCACGGCGGGTTGGGGGCATTGTCTGTCAGGGTCACGGCGGGTTGGGGGCATTGCCCGTCAGGGTCACGGCGGGTTGGGGGCATTGCCCGTTAGGGTCACGGCGGGTTGGGGGCATTGTCTGTCAGGGTCGCGGCGGGTTGGGGGCATTGCCCGTCAGGGTCACGGCGGGTTGGGGGCATTGTCTGTCAGGGTCGCGGCGGGTTGGGGGCATTGTCTGTCAGGGTCGCGGCGGGTTGGGGGCATTGCCCGTCAGGGTCACGGCGGGTTGGGGGCATTGTCTGTCAGGGTCGCGGCGGGTTGGGGGCATTGCCCGTCAGGGTCACGGCGGGTTGGGGGCATTGTCTGTCAGGGTCGCGGCGGGTTGGGGGCATTGTCTGTCAGGGTCGCGGCGGGTTGGGGGCATTGCCCGTCAGGGTCACGGCGGGTTGGGGGCATTGTCTGTCAGGGTCGCGGCGGGTTGGGGGCATTGCCCGTCAGGGTCACGGCGGGTTGGGGGCATTGTCTGTCAGGGTCGCGGCAACCGCGGGCCACGCTCAGACGTCGCCCCACGTCCAGGCAGAGGCGGCATTCTCTCGTTGTTCAGCGTTTTGAGTTTTTCTTAATCCTCCTTACTGACCACTGGAACAAAATTTTGTTGTGGCGAGAGGGGCACCGCGGTAGGGAGATGTTATTTCACTCGCCTGGTATGCAGGAAATCGTGGGATCGATCCCGACCCTGACGCCTGCTGTATGTTTGGAGTTTGCGTGTCTCTCTCTCCCTGTGATTGCGTGGATTTTTCTCCGGGTCCTCCTGGTTTTCCCTCCACATTTATAATGAACGTCACGCATTACGAGTATCGATTTTGGCTGCTATACATTTCCACCCGAGAAGTCACTTTGTTGGGCTATCATTTGAGGCCAGATCGCTTCTGAAAAAGAGCTGTATATAGCTCTGTGGGCTTTATCTGGTGAATGAAATACTGCAAGTTGCAATACTCGGGGCATGACTGTAATTTACCATCCCGCTGGACTTCCATTGTCCGCCCACGGGTGGCACAACCAACCCGAGACCGCCTGCGCGCCCCTCTCCACTCAGATTAGCCCCGAAACCGTCTCGCGCTCGGGCGGAATCCGATGCCGAACGACAGCGGACTTCCCTGAGAGGTGGGGGGGGGCTTCATCGGGCTCGGCACGGGCTACAGAAGAGGTGGAATGATGTGTTAAACAGAAGGGGGTGGAGTTGACTGGACTTTGCCGATGGGCTGGTGTCGAGGTCGGCCTCTGTGGAGAAGGACGCTGCGGGGGAGTCGGAGGCAGTCGCCCTCCAGCACACAGAGGGTAGGAGAATGACGCTCACAACAACGAGCAGAGAGCAACTGGGTAGCTAAAACGAAGAGTTGGCACAATGGGGAGCACAGGTGGTGCATCTGTCAGTCATCTCAAGTCAGTCAACCCATGGCACCTCGGTCTGTTCCATAACCTTCCAGCGGGTTTTCGACACCTCAATTGGCCTCAAAAGTGCACCTAGCATGGCACAAGCGCCGTGGTGACGTCACCACCACTTAGTGGTGAACAGCGTTTGCTGTTGGGGGGGGGGATCATACAAATGTGACAGTCCCCTCCCGTGGGAGTCAAGGTGCCATACTCTGGCTGGCTTGCCAGTGTGTACGAGATATTGCTGCTGCTGCTGCTGTTGCCGCCTCCCACACAGGGTGTTTCTACCGGTCCGCCAATTGAGTCCCAAGTGTAAAACTCATTAATTGGCCGTTGATAGCGTGGCTCACCGCCTGGCTGCTGCCTTCTCGCTTGTCCGTGGTTGCTCCGAGTTACCACCTCGCCATGGCGGCGAGCAGGGACGTGCGGTCAGGGGAGGCAGAGCCTTGTCTGTCATACTCCAATGAAAACAGCTGTTACGAAAAGTAAAAACAAAATCTAATGAAATCAATATTAAGATTTTTCCACTGATCTGTATTGTAAATGTCATTTCTGTACGATTCCAATCATTTTTATCGTCAAAATCGCCAAATTTGCGGAGCTCCGCTGCAAATACAGGAAGAGACGAGGTGAGGCAGCGACGAGCTCAGCCTCCCCTCTGATTGCGCAACCCCTCAGTAACTAGGTGGAGCGCGGGCAATAAGCGCGTGCCTGTTACTATCTCAGTATGTCACCAATGTAATGTTTGTAGACTCCTTCATTTAATGTCCTCGCCTTCCATACTCCAGGTAACTTATTTCACGTGTGTGTATAAATATATTTAGGCTCGCTGGTCTCGTCATGAAACTGCAATGAAAAAGCACCAGGGGAGGCAGCTATCACATCTGCCTGAGGGGGACGTGTCTAACACGCCCCACACGGAGGCCACGCCCCCTCCGTGAGGCCACGCCCACCTCAGTGTGTGAATCTGGCACTAGCCAGTGCCTCCCCAGCCATGGACCTCACCGCACGTCACTGGTGGCGAGATGTTAACCAACCTCACCTGGAATACAGTTCGTGGGTTCGATCCAGACTCTGATGCCAACTGTATATTTGGAATTTGCATGTCTCTCTCCCCGTAGTCGTGGATTTTTCTCCGGGCCCTCCGGTTTTTACCTCTACATTTAGAATCAACATCACGCGTTTAGAGTATTTGGCCACTTCGTTGAGCTATTATTTGTGGCCAGGTCACTTCTGAAAAAGAGCGATATAGTTCAGTAGGCCTTACTTGGTAAAATAAAAATAGTTTATAATATGTCTTTAAGAGTGAGCGAAGTTATTACTGTATTACCATTTGGTGTTAGGAAAAACATGTATACATATTTAACATGTTTAAATGATTAAAACTTAAAATGATCACAAGAAAGCGCGAACCCCGGATTCGTGTTGTATTTGCACGCATGTTTTTTCACCCTCTGTCACGTTCACGATTTTAGGTTCCATATAACTAGTTTAAAAAAAAACTGAAATGATCAACAATTATTTTGTGATAGTGGCTGTGTAATCAGACAGAGCAAGCCCACAGTCAAACACCCAAACTCTGAACAATCGGTGGCAGGGATTTAAAATTCTTCCAAGTTCCTAGTTTAAACGTTTACATTATGCCCAAAACATGTATGGTTTTGGTTTTAAAAGCCCCATATATCGTTTCTAAGCCACTCATGATTTGATACATTTGCATATTCGACTTATGAACTTTCAGAGATAGGAACAAACCTGGCCCGTATGTCCAGTTGCTTTTTTGAACCGCGAGTCGTAAGTTAAATCACAGCGCAATAGATGGCGGTGGTTGTTCAGTGTCATTACCCAGCATTCCCAGAATTTCTGCCCAGGCCTTTCTGCCCAGGCCAGGCAGAACATAAAGAACCAGTGGCATCTATAGTTGCAGGAGATTATACAACTTTTAAAGCCATTGTCCGTGTTTAGTGTACACGCCGTACATGTTTGGAATCGACAGGAGTAAATTTGAACAAATCGACTTACGAACAGACCTCTGGAACCTAACTTGTTCGTAAGTCGAGGAGTCTATGTATATGTGTGTAATTGTCAAAACTGAACGTTCTAAAACGGGGTTTTTGCTACTTCCACATTCTTGATGGAGACACCTCCGTGTCAGTAGTTTTTCATTAGTGTGCAGACATTTACAAAACTGATGTAGGTTGTAATCACAAACACTATTTATATCTCACTTTTTTATTTTACATTATTTAACAGTTCGATAATTGGAGAACATTGTTTTTATTCAAACATAAAATGACTTCAATTCCCGCACTCGAGTGGCTAGATAAGCCTGGGCGCTGTGCCCACTACAGCAAGTCGCTAACTCAAAGGGAAGTAACCAAAATATCTGGTTAGGTATCGTAGATCCGAAGATATTAAACGTTAAAGATTTTAAAGAATATACACGGACAACAGGGCAAGTTGAATAACAGTGTGTAAAAACATTGCGTGATACTGGAGTATAGTGGAACCCTGTTTATGGTCACATTCCTTCTGCTTTGTCGCACGTCTCATATTTCACAAAACAAAATCCGTGGCCATCACAAAGCATCTCACCACGGTGACGTCGAGAGGCCGTGCACTCAGTGGCCTCTGAACAAAACAAAAGAGGCAGAGTCAAGTGTCACAGGCGCAAGAGGGAAGGGAAAGATTTGATCCTGGACTCGGACACCTTAGGCAAGGTCGTTAATGGCTGAGGAGGGAGTCTGTGATGATGTTTTTTACTCTGCGAATTAAGTTTTCAAACAGTGCTCATCACCTCTAAATAAAACGATGCACGCTTCAACCCTTTTAAATGCATATAAATGTCACGAATGTGAGAATGACTGCTAGGATCATTTTAACCATCATCACCGAGTTAGAGCGATGATCATGAATTACAAATGTGCACGCGATCACTCTCTCATTGGAGGCCTCAAGCCGGGAGGGAGGATTACAGTCTGTTCTCTTGTAACGCCTTTTCAAAACGCAAATTGGATATAACACAATGCATGTACGAGGAAACATTTTTTTATAACGCGGACGCGAATTATATATAAAGCGATGGAGCGAACGGAACGTCGCACGAATAGAAATAAGCGGTCGCATGGCTGCCTCGGCGTAGCATCGCACAAGGCGGGATGCTGTTGGATGCTTCCAGATGCTACACATGCGGCTCAGTCTTTGTTCAGCCTGCGTACGTATCTCACGTGTTATCGCGGACAGTTTTTACCATATTACATATTATTTACTTTCACGCGATTTTTCCACAACGCGGTGCTGTTCAGGAACGCAACTACTGCATTATAGGAGAACGGACTGTATTGCTTGAATAGGAGCGAGGAGAGGGCATGGAATACGAGTCTCTGGTCTGACCCAACACAACACACATCTTTGTGCAATCTGAGATTCCTCAAATCCACAATCGATTATCAACGAGGAGCCCTGCTGCCACGAGGCATGCGACCGTTTCTCCAAACTGTGTTTGTAACGTAGCTCCCACGTTGTGAACCACACGTCCCAATTCCTTGTTGTCAATATGTACTGTGTGTATGTACAACTTCTCTCGCACCACTGTACGTAGCCAACCGTGCTCATCGGAGGTGCGGGGGGAAGGACAACAAACTAAACACAAAACCAGTTGTAAAGAAATGTGTTCGATCTAGATTTAAAGGTGCATAGGTCCAGCGGCTTCTTAATATCGGAAGGGAGAACGTTCCAAACGGCCACAGAAGTGCATCTGAACGCACGCAATGCGGTGACCGTCTTTAATATGCAAGCTTGCCCTCCTTTATTTACAATTTCCAAGACATTTTTATATTTCCTTAGTGGACTCTGAAGCAGTTGATTGGCAGGCTTCATTTGGTGGGTCTGTCAGCGCAGTATTCATGGCAAACACATTGTGTGCCCGAATAATTCCCGAAAAGCCAGCTGACAGTATCCAAACGTGGGCATCAAGGTTGGGATTAATTCGAACCTGCAAGAAGAAAACAACATTACATAGGATTTAATGAGTGAAAAGTTAACAAAATATATACTTATGGATATATACACATACAAAGACTCCAACTTTACATTTGGTAGAATAACGTGTAGAGGCAAGTATTGTATCTTTTAAAACCAGCATGATACAAGTCTGTAGTTTGGCCACCCGTAATCTCCATTGTAATAGACATCACACCAGGCACAGATATCAATTGTCAATAGTTCCAAGCGCCAAAATCAAACCTGAGTCTCTGGGGGCACAGCAATGTACACAAACAACTCCACATATATGAACGTAGAGACAAATACTCTCTGTTTATCCTCACGGAACTGAAATGTATGTCCTGACAAGCAGCCAAGAAGATGTGGCAGGAGACAAAATGTATGAAAAAATCTGATCGGCTTCAAAGAATTATAAGATATAACATCATAATGGGTGACTTCAATGCAAATATAGGTGAAAAGCAGTGATGGGAGGATGATGATTGGTAAATTTGGTATTGGAGAAGAAATGAGAGAGGAAAATGTCTATTAGGTTATGCGGCCAGAAGGGACATGAATGTGATGAACGTTTTTTCCCCCCAATGAAGTCATCTAGAAAATGGATGTAGAGGAGCCTAAATGGAGAAATTACAAATATTATTGACCGGATTCTTACAGATAAACCTCAGGTTTTCAAAGACATCTCTGTACCCTAACCAACAACACTGGCAACTGTTGTAAGTTCCGCCAGTGCAATTCTCTGTATGGCCTCCCCAAAGCCCTAACTGCCAAACTCAACATGATGCAAAATGCCACTGCAATACTTCTCAATCGTAAACGTGACTAGATCGTCCCAATACCCCCGATCACCTCCTCTGGCTCCCAATCCAATCTCATATCAACTTCAAGATTAGCCTCAATATTTTCAAGATCCCCCATGGACTTTATTAACTTTTTCAGTCAGTCTCATTCTACTCCCACACTCTCACACTCCGCTCTAGCAAGCAGCTCAAGCTTTCTGTTGAACCCCCCCCGCTCCCCCAATCAGTCTGCTCAGTCAGGTCACCTCCTCCCTCTGCTGGTTTGGAACTTTCACCACCAGCTGTCCGTGCTGTTGACTCACCGCTCCAGTTCCAATCCAGGCTCATTCCCCCTCACTATCACTGTTTCTTTCACTATGTAAACAAATAAAGAATAATGCTCCTATACCACCATTCTCTACAACATCTGGAGATGCATTTAGATGGTATATCAACTATACTGTGTGGTTATTGCACTTCCAACGTTTACAAAAATAAATCCAAGCTAACAGACAAATCAAGTCGGTTAACATCAAACATCGAATTCAAAAGGTACAAGAAGATGACTCAATCCTCTTGAGAGGCAACATGACGGAATGCATGTTGCCATGAGCAACTATGGAACAGTCATCGCTGTAGTGGACGGCACCAATCGTAGTCGGGGGCTCAGTAAAAAAATTAACAGAAAGAGCAGCCATGTAATTAAGTTTTTTTTATTTTACCAGGTATGGCCTACTCAACTATATAGCTCTATTTCCGAAGCGACCTGGCCACAAATTATATCTCAACAAAGTGGCTTATCACGTGGAAATGTATAACAGTCAAATACTCTAAACACATGTTGTGTTTCTAAATGTGAAGGGAAAGACTGGAGGACCTGGAGAAAAATCCACGTCACCAAGGGGAGTCTAACATGCAAACTCCAAATATGAGTCAGGGTCGGGATAGAACCCACGACCTCCTGTATACCAGGCGAGGTAGTTAACATCTCCTAGCCACCGTGGTCCCCCAAAGTTCGAAGGTCAGAGCACCAAGCTGGTACCGTGCAAATCCTGGGTGCAGATCAGGGCCGCCGCCGTGATTGGACTCGTTTCTCTACACAAGTCCCAGAAACACATTTCTTCCAACACAGATTAAAAGAAAAAATATGCAACTGCACTTTACCAACCTCTTGATCTGTAGCTCAAGCTATCTGTACCTTTAATTTTCACCCTGTCTCGTGACCGAGCCACTGTCGATGTCTTACCTTGTGAATGCCCGTAATGGGGAGCTTTCCTTCCAAGGTTGCGTGGTTGCTGCTTGTAAAATTCATGTTTTGAAAGGGTTCTCGGTTATTGGTATCATCAAAACACGTCTGCAGCACAAAAACACACGGCAATACGTGATTCATGTGCTTTGATTCATTACATCCTGACTTCAAAAAAGCACTTTTCACAAATATTCAGCGACAATGCATTGCTTATTGATATTAAAACAAAATGTAACATTTGTATAGGTCTGAACTCTGTCAAAATAAATGTTATTTTTTTCCATCTCTCTACCCATGTGACACCACACGTCTGCGTCTCTCTCCCTGCCTCTCTGTAGCAACCAACATTCGTGTTAATTTAGGCGATGCAGCAGAGCAGAATGTCTAAAAGTACATGGATTCGACTGTGGACATGTTTTAATGTCTCACCTCTCACGTCTCACTTATGTTTCCCACTCTTTTCCAATTACGAGAATACCTCGCTTAGCGCAAGCCCACAGAACGCCAGTCTCGTGACAGTGCTCTTTGCCCTGGATGACATTTTAAAACTAAAATAAATGAAATCTAAATATCTACAAAGTGCCCGACGAGTGAGAACATGCAGCAGCGTCGGTCGAGGACACATAACTATGCCCCCTCACTCGCTCAGCCAATCACAGCGAAGCACGCCGAGCCACCCAGACCCCACTACCCGCGATTCTATTATCACAGTTCGTGGTCACGACTGCATTGTAAAAAAATATATCTTTTGTTATTACTGTACATTTAGCCAGGTAAGATCTCATGAGACCAGGAGTCTCAGGCTTCACCTAAAAGTGCCACACTGTCAAGATGTTAACTACCTCGCCTGGTATACAGAAGGTCGTGGGTTTGATCTTGACCCTGACGATGCCTATATATTTGAAGTTTTCATGTCTCTCTCCCCGTGGTAGCGTGGATTTTTCTCTAGGTCCTCCATTTTTTCCCTCCACATTTACAATCAAAGTGCGTTTAGAGTATTTGGCTGCTATACATTTCCACGTGATAAGCCACCTCGTTGAGCTATCATTTGTGGCCAGTTCGCTTCTGAAAAAATGGCTATATAACTAGTGGGCCTTACCTGGTAAAATAAAATAAATAATAAAATATTCCTCACCAGATAAATGTTGACTGAGGGCATCACTAAGACCCGGAGTGACTGCAGCAGCTCCTGCAACCTCGTCTACCACCGCTAAAACTACGAACAATTTTTTGTTATATTACCAGGTAAGGCCCACTGAGCTATATAGCTCTTTTTCAGAAGTGACTGCTGCTTTGGAGTACAGTAGAATGCACTCGTGAGTACAGTACATACTAATGATGTTAAAATACATTTTATTCTTATCATCTGTTTAACACGGAGGCCTTTCGCGGCCAATATCATCCACAAGAGGTTTTTTTGGGTTTGATCGTGTAAATATATGTCGTTAAAACCCGCCACCACCCGACACAGCCAACTAGTAAGGGTTGTCACGTAAACAGAATGTGGCCAATCCGTCACGAGTACAGCACACCGGTGTGCTGGAGAGCCAAGCCACAACATTTACAATCTGAGCACACGTTTCGCTAGTAATTACGAGCTTCATCAAGCGACAGCCAAATTACTAGTGCTGTACTAGTGACGACTGCATCATTAGCTGTGATGGAGGTTCGCTGGATCAGCCTGGGCCGCCGGATGATGGCAGCCGGATAATCGCGTGCTGGATAATCAATTATCCACTGTATTACCGATGCACCAATGAAGCCCTCATATATAACAGCGTTATTTCGTATGTGGTATACAGCGGTATAATGACCCCTATTTTAGCGCCGGATTGATAGCGCCGACTTCTCCTCCAGGAACACATTTTGAGCGCCAAGCGAGGTCTGCCTGTATGGTCCGGAAGTGGAATTCGGGCCACTGGAAGCCAGTGGAGGAATCCGAGCGCTGGGGTGATGTTTCCGTTCGTGGCTGTGAGTGAGAAGCCTGGCAACTGCATTCTGGATGGTTTGGGAGTTGTGTGGATGATGTATATGGGGAGACCATCGTGGGGTGAGTAGCAGTAACCGGCATTTGTTGAAGGCATGGATACAGATATTGTCACGTCTCTTATAATTCCCCTGAATAAATGTATTATCTGTTATATTTCACCCGAGTACAATTTTCTCCATTCATCTTTCTTGGAAGTGACTGCTTGGCTGCCACACAAGGCAATGGGTGAGCAGCAGAGCCATGTGATGATGATGGATGTGCCCAGGTTCCTACCAGGTCAGTGTCATGAAACACGACTGTATACTTGGACAGGTTTCCATCCGTTGCCACCACTGTCACATTTTGCTCATTTAATGTAGAACTGGGCGGACTTGCTTCCTCCCGATGTCCTTCTTCATTGCAAGGGACGTCTTTCAGCTGGGTTGCGTACACTGGCTGTAAAGAGAGTATCACTGTAGGTTTCATCACTATTAACATTATCCAACTACGGGTGGCTAGGTAAAGCATAATTTGCTCAAATAATAAAAAATAAGCATATCTCTTGTCAATGTTAAAATAAACCACACTGCCTTCAACAACACCAATGAATAATAGGCCAACGACTTAAAGCAAAAACCCTTCAGAGTAAAGACAGCCAAAAGCAAACATCCTTCTCTTTAGAGAATGCGGCACGCACCAAAGGGTGTCTGGAAAATTTTAATCTGGTGTTTTAAATTTGGCACGAGCATATACTTAGGAAACCCTCAATAGTTATTGCTTGTAAGAGTTTTTAACAAATAGTACGAGTTAAATTACACGAAGACGTTTTAGCTGCGAGCAGACGTGATGAATCTTACGTCTTCAACCTTGGGTTTACGGATAACCGTAATGAGCACCAATAATAAGAGATTCAGTGTTATCAGTATTTAGCCGAAGGGACATTTGCAGCCTCCAAATTCTTATATTGGTAAATCATGCTCCTTCAGTCACTGGTGTGGCAATCAGAAGCATAATGTTACGTGAAAAAGCTTGGGAAAAACTAGCTGCTTACAAATCTGCTGTAGTAGGGGTGCTTGATGTTGTGTGGGTTCTTCCAAAAGTTTGGAAGAATGGCGCCGATCACTTCTCCCGTGCTTTCTCCTGAAAACACCGCATTCAGCCAGTCCGAGCCCGACACACTCTGAGAAGACACGGATATAGCAAGACACTGCTTGACAACGCCTCAAAACATAAAAAGGACCTTTACTTCCATTAAGCCATAATTACCTTGTTTCCTATCCTTAACATTGTAAATCTTCCTTCAAAAAATATCCTGAAGCAGAATATTGGTGCTGAATACAGCCACATTGGCAAATGTGATTTGTAACTTTTATCCTTAATGCGTGTATGGCGAGTTGAATTTTAATGTGCAATTGTATTGATGGGCACTGACAGGCAACTGCTGAAGATCATCATTAGCAGGAAGTGTTACTACCTAGGCCACATTGCCCGAAACGACCACAAATACCAGCTATTAAAGCAAATCCTGGAAGGAAAAATCCAAGGGAAAAAACGACCAGGACGGCCAAAAACGACATGGCTCAGTAACATCAAAACATGGCTACAATTAACAACAGCACAAACTCTACACGCCGTGCTAGAACGGGACCAATATCATCGTGAAGTCGCACACGCCGTTAGGCAGCACTAAAGAAGTATTGATGGACTACTGGGTGTTGTCTTGGTGTGGTCTGTTGTTGTTGTTTTGCTGCTTTTCCCAAGCTTGCGTTAAGTGTTGAAAAATGTGCAAGAATGTATGCACTTTTGCAATTTGTACTAGAATATTTTATGGATTTTTATTTTATTTCTTTACTAATTTTTGTGTGATGAGCTTTACCTTTTTTCTATTTTGCACTCCGATCCTGTTGTTTTATTGTTTGTTGTGGTACATTTTTGACCCCGCGCCCCTACTGGACATCTGTGAAAAAGAGCTTCATTGCTCATCGGATTCCTCCTCCTGCAGTCTCAATAAAGAGTCTGATTCTTATAGACGAAGCAAACTAGTGAACATTTACTATTCAAGAATGTTCCACCGTATGTAACTAAAGTGTACCAAAAACCAGACAGTGACTGCTTTCACCATTTCCACAGGAAAACAAATGTGGGGTTGAAGGTAAATAGCAAAAAGAACGTACAAGTGTGAGACAAAAGCGCAAACTTAGCTTTGCGAGGCGTTGATGTGGGAAAAAAAAGAGGCCTCGATGCAAAAGTTAAAACTCGTTTTCTGAGCTTGTGAAATATATACGAACCCAAATCGTTCCCACTCTGGGGTTGAAGAGGTACGGTTTGTATCCCAGGAAGCCATAATCCAGGTAGTGAATGCCATTTACTCCATATCTGTAACCCAAATTCACAAAAAAAACATTGTGTTCTCAATAAATGTCCTTCGATTATAAAAAAACAATAAGCATACCAATGATATATTATATGTTTGACATGTTGCCAGGGTTCATTATGCTAAGGTGTGTATTGTAACTTTGATCCTTACCCGAGTGTGGATAGTTAAATTTTTATGTGCCATTTTATTGAGGGACTTCTATGTGTTGTTTTGGTGTGGGGTCTGGGATTGTTGTTGTTGTTTAGCTGCCTTGCCCAAGATTGCAATTAGTGTTCAAAAATCAGCAGTTTTATGTACTCGGTGAGTGTGTGAGGCCAGTGAGTGTGTGAGGCTAGTGAGTGTGTGAGGCCAGTAAGTGTGTGTGTGTTAGGCCAGTGAGTGTGTGAGTGGCCAGTGTGTGTGAGAGGACAGGGAGCGTGTGAGGCCAGTGTGTGTGAAGCCAGTTAGTGTGTGCGAGCCCAGCGAGCATTGTGAACTAACGCAGCGTAGCAGTTCTCCTGCGCCACCACGACCCCGCAGCTGTGCAACAGCCACGCGACCTCTGTGTTCTGGTGGCGGCGAATCGCGCTGCTCGGCTCTTCCGCCCGTCGCACATCCCAAAACTTAATCCAACGGTCGTGGCTGGCTGTCACCAAGAAGTTTCTAAAACAATACAGCATGAGATATAACATAAAAAAAACACACGACCGTTAATAATAGTGACTACGTATAATGTACATCACAAACAAGTTAGTTTTTGCCTTTGTGTACGTTACAACACTTTTGGGTCACTACATTATAAGGTCACACTCATTCACACAAAGTGCTTGCCACAAATGAACCACAATACCTTGCTGATCTCATCAAGCAACATATACCATCACGTGAACTCCGGTCATCCTCTCAGCACCAGCTTTTGGCCAACCATCTAACAAAGACAGTCACCGTATCGCACACTTTCAGATGTGCTTCTGCGTCCATCTGGAATGCTCTTCCTTCCGATATTAGGACGCCATTGGAGCCGAGCACTATTAAATAATCTTGATTGACAAAACTGAGTTCTTTAAATCAGATTTTTGTGTTTATTTTGTTGTCCTTCCCTCGCACCTCCGATTAAGCACGATTTGGCTACGTGCGGTGCAAAAGAAATTCAACATACATACAGACACAATGGCGAACTCTGAATGACGTCAGAGGATTTTTAACGTCCGCTGTGAATCGGTCGTGTGTATTATACAATATGCTTGCAGTGAAAACCAGGACGGCCTGCCGGATTTGAACCACAAATCCTCGCAACCTCTCACCCTCACCCAGGAGGCAAGCGACGCTCTGAGGGAGGCTCCTTGCCGCTTCGTCTTTACCTTTGCACAACACAAAATGCTCGTCCCATCTGGGCCAGCTGCTAAGGCCTTTGAAAACCACCCTCGCCACATCTAGCCTACGTAAATCTGCTTCCCAGGGCCAAAGGACTCCGGAGGAAAAATAGTGTAGCACGTAGCACAAGCATTCAATGGAAATCATGGAAAGCTTTCAAGAATGAACCTTTGGGGTGAGGCCCTGACCATCAGCTTGTCGCTGTGCAGGGGATTGGCCATCGAGGCCTGCAAATTACTAACCCTCCTTGCAGAGAAATCTGCAGTTCAAAAGGTGAAATGAAATTCTACAATTTAATCCATTTCTTCAATCATCGTCATCACGATCCATGGACAGATATCCAGTAGGTGTGCAATGCACATTTTGAATTTTTTTTCCACTTTCCTCTGTCTTGTGCCAATATGCTCAAGTAGTGGCCACATCTTTCTGGCACCAATCTCTTATGTCGTCATCATCAAGCCATTCTCTATGAGGTCTTCCTCTCTTCCCGGTTCCTTCCATTTTTACAAACAACACACTTTTAATTTTCCTGTTGTTACCCATCATACATATGGCGTCAAAATAGAGGCAGTTTCCTTTTTTCACTCCGCCTGATGACGACCGCTTGTGTTGCGATCGAAACGTCGTAGTTTTTTTTTTTATTTATATTAATTTGAACCTATCTACGTGACTTTACCGAAAAACTCAAAGAATATAGTTCCTTCTCATCACTGCCTGCATCATCAAGTTGTCTTCTATGTTGCAACGTTTACTTACTTCTACGTTGGGCCCTCTTTTGGTCCAGCTTAAGATGCAACATTATCCTTCTGTAGCAATATATTTCGAGGGCCAACATCTTATCTCTGTCAGTCTTTTTTTTACGTCGAAATCTCGCTGTAAGCATTTAAAACGACTTACTTGTTCATGGGACACCAAGCCAGTGACTTGACGAGATTGTCGTGGGCGCTAAACGTGTTGTACGGATACAGAATCACGTTTCCGTCTGGCTTCTTTACACGGAGGAGGCTGGATTTAGTGGTCAAATCCCACAGCCCAACGGAGCCTGAAACGGACCGTAAATAAGGGTAATCTTGCTGCTTTCGCATCAAAAGGAAAATAAAATATCTCCATTCACCCATATCAGCATTTTCCACGACGATCATAGGGCAAGAGACGTTTAGAAATTGATGATGTAGACAAGATCACAAAGACAAGATTAAATTGTGATCACGCCAAAATCTGTAGATGTCATTTCACCGCACTTCCGATTGGCACGGTTGGCTACGTATGGTGCGAAAGAAGTTCAACGTACGTACACACACTCACTTCCGCGGGTGATTCTTGTAAAGGAGCTTTAGGCTAAATGTTTCTAATAGGTGTAAAGAAATTAAATCAATCAAACCTCAATAGTTTCCTGCCACATGCAATTGCTGTGGTGACGTCAACAAATTTGTGTGTGTTTCCGTATGTGCGTGTGTGGAGCTGTAATGTGGTGGCTAACGCGCACTGCACTACGAACCCGGCGACCAAAGTTCAATTCCCGTTCACAACCGATAACAGCAGCGAATATTTAAATGGTCCTGGGCCTCCTCTAGATCGACTCAGCCTTAAATGAGTACCTCGTGCAGTGTGTAAAACATCAGCACTGGGGAGATAAAGGCGACCAGGTATGGTTCTGGCCACCCACCCCCTCGTGTGCCTTGTCGGCCTTTATAGGTGCTACTTGCTAACGGCACTTTCCCCAACAGAATGTTGAAGTCTTTAAGGGGGATCTTTGTCTTTGCATTTGACAATTAGTGCGTGATAACAGGCAGGGCAGTTCTGCTGCGTAGCAGACGGAAACAAAGAAATGACCGCTTAAGGAGTCAAAACACCAAAACATTCTTGAGTGGAAATGTTCAAATTGTAGATTTTGCTTGCCAAAAACTAATCATTTTGCGCGAAAAAAATTTCTGCAGCATTGTGTGCAATGAAATTTTCCCCGAATGAAGCGGTGTAAGAGTAACGAAGCAAATAAATGTACCGTCATAAAATCCGACAGCCAAATGAGAATGGCTCTGCAATGGTGACCAAGCCAAGCAAAAGCAAGCTCCATTTGTTGAAGAGGCTTGTAAATTTACAGAGCCCACCTCCAAGGTGACCACCGGTTTGACCTGTTGAACGACAAAGCTAATTATTTGGTTCAAAACATAAACAATGTGAGCGTGGATGCGCGAGAGAGTGCGTGTGCACGTGTAATGTGGGGAGCGTAGCAATTCTGGCCGTCGCCTGATGATGCTGGTTGTTGTAATGACCGGTGAAACGTCACGGTACTCGAATTGTAAATGTTGTAGTGGGTTTACTCTCCAACACACCGGTGTCCTGCACTAGTAATGAATTGGCACGATTTGTTTGCGTGAAAAAACGTACTAATTGGCTGTGTCGGGTGGTGGCGGGTTTAACGACATTTATATTTACGCAATCTAACCCAAAAAACGTATATTATGGGTAGTGTAGCGGTTAGCGCACTGCGCTACGAACCCAGCAACCCGAGTTCGATTCCCGCTCACAGCCAACACTGGTGACGATTATCTGAACCGGTCCTGGGCTTCCCCTAGGTCGACTCAACCTCAAATGAGTACCTGGTGCGGTGTGTAGTAAACATCGCCACTAGGAATACAAAGGTGGCCGGGCGTGGTGCTGGCTAAGCACCCACTCGTGTGTCAAGCCGGCCTTTATAGGTGATCGCTAACAGCACTTTCCCCCAAAAGTCTGTTAAGGCTAAACAGGGGATCTTTGTCTTTGCATGTGTAAAGAATGTGTATCATTATGTTTAATGTTGTACAAACATAAGTGTAGATTGTTCTGTTGTTTATCTATATGTTTAGGGTCACCATTCTGTGGGTGCAGTACCGGCCCTAGAGGGGCACGATGTTTGTGGAGTGACATCGCTGGATGGCACCATGCTGTAAGTGCAGTGCCGGCCCTAGAGGGCACGGTGTGTGTGCCAACCTAAGAGGTTGGGTAAGGCCATGGCACTCTGGTTGACCTGGGAGGACACGTGATCGGTTTTAATGACAGGGGGGCCCCAAGAGGGGGCTAGGAGGGTCACGTGATTGGAACCCAGGTTCTTCCCGATGGTTCTGGAAGGGGGGCGTGGCCAAGGGCGGAACCGGCCACGCCGCAGAGAATACGAGCAGAGTCCCGAGAGGAATTGGGGTTGTCCGTCCCGGGAAGAAACCCTTCGTCTACGATCTCCATTCTACGAGTCTTCCAGCACGTGGACTCGGGCAGTATGTTGTTGGTCCTGGGTCCGTAGTAAATAGTTACTCAAATAACCAGTGTAGTTAGCCAGGGTGGTCACCACGCTAGGGAGTTGTGTTGTTAAGGGTGAAGTCACCTCACTTTGTTGGAACTAAATAAATGCGCTGCCTCAAAGTCTAAGAGTGCGACTCAGTTGAACCCACTACACATGTTTATAAATGTGGAGAAAAAAAATCCACGCGAAAACAATGATCAGCCACGGCCGAGGTATTGGTCCTACCGTGGTTCAGATCTGCCTTATGTTCACGAACACGGTCCGAAACATGCCGCTTAGTTTCCCCAATGTAACTACACAGCTTAGTTTGTAGACGCCGGAGTATTGCATGTCAAGGATCACATCCTTCACAGATGGGATCAGATCACAAATTTTATGTACTGTGTTAAATCGAACCTGGATTTTGTGTTTGCTCATGATTTTGGAAATATTTTTAGTGACCCCTGCTATGTATGGCAAGGTGATGATTTTGATTGGGTCCTCAGATGGTTCTTTTTTAAGATAATACCAATCGCCTTCACACTGACATCTGCTGCTGTCACTTCTCCTAATGCTAAACGGATCTTGTTCAGGGCTGGCCTAGCTCTGATCTCAGAGAAAATAAAATTGCTCTGATTTGAACTAGACAATTTAGACAAGACTCTCCTGAAATCACACTTAACATTGATGGAAACAATGTCTACATCTGATTGGGAACATGTAGATAACATTACAGCCTCTTCAGCTGCCTCAATGTCAGCTAAATGCAAAGATAACCGTATTTCCAAGTTCAACCTCCTTTCTAAGAAGAAGCCAGATCCACACATAAAAAAGTTAGATGTGGACAAGATTGTCATCAATCATAGTAACAGTCCAATTTCAGACAGCCTAAAATCGGTTCTAGCCAAAGGGTTGAATTACGCAGTCACCCCTAAACACATCCCAGTTGATGATATCATTGCCCAGGTCGACGTAGTCCTTCAGAGTTTGGGACACATTGCTGCAGACGTGACAAGATCGGAAATCGCTGCAA